TTTTTTTTTTTAGCTTTTCTAACTTGTCAGTCAGAAGCTTCTTTTCTGTGGACCTTGCTATTTCATCACCCACATTTAAGAAGCTAGGCTTTTAGCTGGGCATGGTAGTGCAAGCTTGTAATCCCAGCACTCTGGGAGGCTGAAGCAGGAGGATCACAAGTTAGAGCCCAGTCTGGTCAGTTTAGGAATTTAGCACGATTCTGTCTCAAAATAAATAAATACAAAGGGCTAGGATGTGGCTTAGTGCAAAGGCCCTGGGTTCAATTTCCAGTAAACCCCCAAATCTAGGATTTAATGTTCTCATAATTTTCCTATGACCCTATAAAACACTGAAGAGTTTCCTCTGCAATTTATCTTCCACATCAGCCTCTCTAGCTATTCTGATAACATGTGTAGGAACTGTCCCCATTTTCTGTCAGTGTCAGGAAGTTGTGTGATTCAGGAATCCCACACAAAGCCTGGTGCCCCTTCCCTCCCCTCATCCTTTCCGTCTCTCTCTCTCTCTCTCTCTCTCTCTCTCTCCCACACACTAACCATTATTTAAATGAGACTTCAGACCGCCACCGCGTTCACCTTATCATCTCTCATCCCTGTTGCTGGGGCCTCCGGGGTGTCAAACACCAGGTACTGGGAGCTGAGTGTTACAGCACACCAAGTCCTTACATTCCAGAAGCTTCCATTTGGTGGAAAAAAAGAATGACAAACAAGCAAGCAAGTAAGCAAACCAGCTCATCTCAGAGCATGGCGGGTGCCTTAGAGAGAAAACCAAGAGACTGAGGCTGGTGGGGAGGACAGGGGCCTCTCTGTGACCAGCCAGAATGCTGTTCCCTTTCTGCACAGCAGAGTAGCCTGCTTTGGTCACAGGGCATGGCCACCTCATGAGGCCCGTCAGGCAACTCCATTCACAGCCCTGGTGTGACTACAAGGAGCCCTGAGTTGAGTGCCTACATCTCACTCGACGGGAGCCTGGAAAAGCCTTCAGTCACGCCGAGCACAGGAAGGCAGCTGTAGCAGGCAAATGTCTGACCCGCCACCTCCAACTACCACACCTCAAGCCAAGGTCACAAGGCAGAACTGCCTTGTTTATTTTTTAAGTCAACTTGCTTTTTGGAGCAAAACCCACCTGACACAAAATACCTGACACAAAATTGCCATAAACACAACCATGTAGCCAGCACTCAAATTAAGAAATAAAACATTATCAGTACCCCAGGACCTCCCCACTTCCAGCCTCTGCTCTCCCCTCAAATGTAACCTCCACCTCCTACTCCCTTATAGGGCAATGCATGAGCTTTACCTGCATTTTTTTTTTTTTTTGAGTCTCTAAGTTGCCCAGAATGGGTTTAAACTTGAGATCTTTCTGCCTCAGCCTCCCAAAGTGCTGGGATTACAGGTGGGCACCACGATGCCTGGTGTGGAATATCTTCATTTTTTAAAGACTGAAATGCAAGGTGAGGACGCAGCTCAGTGGGATAGTGCCTGCCCAGCATGCGGGAGGCCAATGACAGCCTGAAAAGGCAGCCTTTAATTCCTGCTCGCTCCCTGTATACCAGACACAATGGTTATATGAGTGGGTTGTATATTGTCACCACTTTTGTTTTTGTTTTTTTTTTTTTTTTTGGTTTTTCTCCGGTACCGGGAACCGAACTCACGACCTTGCGCTTGCCAGGCAGGCGCTTTTGCCGCTGAGCTAAATCCCCAGCCCGTCACCACTTTTAAAAAAGGGAATTGAGACTCAAGGTGAGAGACTTCTTCAGTTTGCACACTGAGTCAGTCTGTGTATTCCGTGAACACTCTTGTTGAACTTTTACAATGGGATAAGAAATGTCCTAATGAGAGGCTGAATACAAAGTTGGATGATCGCCAGAATACAATGCTGACCCATTATCTACAGCAACAGCCGGAATGGAGCCTGATATCTACAGGCTGACTTGCAGGAAGTCAGTCACTGTCTAGCAAATAGTCCAGGAAGCCAAAGATTAACCAATGCAACAGGCAGCCCCAGAGAGCTAGGACTTCAGTAACAGCTGACAGCTTCTCTAATTTTTTTTTTTTTTTGTACTGGGAATTGAACCTAGGGCCTTCACACTGAGCTGCATCCCCAGTCCTTTTTTTAATTTTTTACTTTGAGAAAGCATCTTGCTAAGTTGCTAAATTGTCCAGGCTTGTGATCATCCCTCTTCAGGCTCCCAGAGTTCTGGGATTACAGATGTGCACTATCACGCCCTCCTCAGCGTACCTAATTTTTGTCTCTAATTCTACCTGGGCCCAACTAAAGAAAGCCAAATACACTGTCCTAACCGATTATGCTCACCACCAACCATGTTTACGGGATCTCCGTCACCTCTATTTTCTATCAGAAAAGAAATGAAACAGCGAGAACATCTGAAGGGTCTGCTTTAGCCCATGTGATATTTTCATTTAAATGGGCAGCTTTCTTTGACAGTTCTATCTCTACGGACAATTGTAAACACTGCCATGGTTTCTATGGCAACTTAATGTTGGAAATTTAGTTCAAAACTCTTGAGGCTTATTTTCAGAAGACTTTTTAAGAGCTGGGTTGGTTGGTGCTGGAATGGGAATAGTGTTTTCAAGTTCTTTTTATTGTTTTAATCTGTTCTTTTATCAAAGAATTATTAAGCATCCAACACAGGTCAGGCCTGTGCTAGGCACATGGGATGATCAAAATATAAACTGTGAATGCTTAAAATTTTAAAAGTTATTGCAGTAAAAGACACATTGCCATCAACCCCCCTTAAAATACTCCCCTGCTGGCTTGGAACACCTTATCTCATCACTCTTGCCACTCTGAACCGGTTCAGGAAGTCGTCTCTTGTTTTGGAAGTCTTCTTTTCTCTTGCCTCAATGTCATGGCTGCCTCAATGTCCTGAACTGATTCAAAATGTTTCCCTTTCACGGTCGTTTTGACATTGGAGTCAGACATTTCACAGCGCCAGAGCCGCTGAATAACATGGATGAGCTGTTCTGTTTTTCAAGTCTACCTTTCTGTTGGATGGCACTCAGCGGCAGCATTCACTGTATTTTTTTTTAATCATAACTTGCAAACACACTCAGGAACGAGGACTTCCAGAACTGCTTCAGAAAGTGGTGAGAATGACGGGATAATTGTGTTGGAGGTGAGGGGGAGTAGTTCGAAGGGGTTTAAAGGCAGTGTGTCTTTTATTGTAATAGTTTTAAAAAAAATCTAAACATTCATCGTATATTTTGATCACGCCTTACATTAGGAAATAAAACGTGGGCAAGTGGACATGGTGCGGGCCTGAGGTTTGGGAGTCTCTGAGATGCTTTAGGTAACCCTGAGAAAAACTGTTCTTTGGTGCTGTCAAGACACGTATAGTGCTGCGGTGCAGGAAAGGAATATATTTTGGGGCACCCAAAAATGAGCTTCCAGATGGTAGCATCCAGGGAAAGTCTGAGGCCCGATTTTGAGCTCCTGACTCTAAACTATAGGTTGTTGCTGATTGTAAAATGGGACCTACATTTGCACTGAAGAAGATCAACAAACCGGAATCCGGTCTTTGAAAAGAAGGAAATTCTATCACACGCCACAGCATGGATGACCCTTGGGAACGCTATGCTGAGTGAAACAAGCCAAGCACAAAAAGAGAAATACTGCATGGTCCCAGCTACATGAGGGACCCAGGGTGGTCGCCGTCTTAGAAAGCAGAATGGTGGTTGACAGGAGCTGAGCAAGAGGTTCAGTGGGTCCAGAATTTCAATTTTGCAGAGATCTATTACACAAGAACAGTATACCACCAGCATTATTGAACTATATGGCCACTTAAATGGCTAATATGGTACATTTTATGTTGTGAGGGTTTTTTGGTGGGGAGAGTTTTATTTTTTTTATTTGTGGTACTGGGGATTGAGCCCAGACCTTCCCACTGACTACATCCTCAGCCCTTTTTATTTTTTATTTTGAGATAGGGTCTTGCTAAGTTACTAAGTTGCCCGGGCTGGGCTTGATCTTGCAATCTTCTTGCCTCAGCCTCTCAGAGTACAGGGATTATAGGCATGCACTACCACACCTGGCTCTGTGTGTGAGTGTGTGTGTGTGTGTTTGTGTGTGTGTGACAATAATCATATAAAAAAAGAAGCATTCACCTGGGGAAGTAGCTCAACAGTAGAGCATTCACCCACCATGCTTGAGGCACTAGATTTCATTCCCAGCAGAGAATGAAAGAAGAGGGCGGGGGAGGAGGGAGGGAGGGCAGGAGGAAAGAAGGGAAGGATGGGGGGAAAAGGAAGGAAGGAAAGAAGGAAGGAAGGAAGGAAGGAAGGAAGGAAGGAAGGAAGGAAGAGTCTAGCATAGTGCTATCCACATAGGGATTCAATAAATATTTGCTGAAAATAAGCTTTTCTACAAATTTTAGTTTAGGGTTTGGAAATGTTGTTTGATTTTCTCCTGTTTTTCTTTTTCTTGTTGGTGCTGAGGATCAAATCCAGAGCCTTGCATCCAGTATCACTGAGCTACATTCCTGCCCCCCTTTGTGTCTTTTGAGTGTACGCAGATTTAGCTGAGAAATGTCAAAGCAAAGACATTTGTAGGACCCAGGGTGGTTGCACTCTTAGAAAGCAGAATGGTAGTGAACAGGAGCTGAGCGAGCCACCTCCTTTGTTAGACAAGTCTGGTATGTCCACTGTGGGCCGCTGACTTTGGGCTCCTCAACCCTGGATTGAGGTCAGCTTTGCACACCCACTGAAAACAGACCTGCCTCAATGACAGCCACGAACATCTGGGGAGCCCTTTCAGTTCACAGAGCTCTGCCATGTGTGGTGATCTCCTTTCAGCCACCTCTTCCTCCTCCTCCTCACTAGGCCTCCAGTATCTTCTCCGCTCTCTGCCAGGGGGGCTCGTTTGCAGAACTGAAACCTTAGTTAAGGTTTGTTGAGGTTTGTTTTTTAAAATTGGCTGTTCCCACCCACAGTCCCTTGAGCTATAAATAGAAAGAAAAAGTTTAATTAGTAAGGTAAGACATCTGATCTACATCCACTTGATCCCTGAAAAGGAAATCTAAGAGGTTGTAACTATCACTTTTTCAATCCTATATAAGGTAGGTCAGTAAGGTAGCAAAAACACATCTGTATTGAGCTCCTTCTCTCGTTTTTTTCCCCTGACTCTTCCTGGGGGAAAATCTAAAAGGGTAAGTAGCTGGTGGGCCTTGCCAGATCCCAAGGTCTTCTTCCTACCAGGCATACATGTGAGGGTTGTGCATGTTGCAGTCAGATTTCTCTCTTCTTGTGGCTTCAGTACTGGAGAGGACTCTCATCTCTGGTGACTTTTCCTTCACTGATTCTCACCCTTCAGGACGGAGCATGGCTGCAACATGGCTCAGCAGTAGCCCAATCTCTCTCCTTTCCCACATGGAATTTGCAACATTCTCTAGCTGGTGTATGAGAATGCTGTTACATTTACAACATGGCTTATTTCTGAGTGCTTTGCAGCTGCCTGTGTAGATGACTGGTTATGCGCATGAAATCTTTATAAGAAAACTGAATCAAGTAGCTCTTTGGGTCGTGTTTAAAAATGTCATCTTTGGAATCTACTCAGGAGAAGGCAGTGAGATGAGAAGGCTGGGATTTTTTCCCTTGTCTGGTTTTTGTTTGGATATTCTGTTCTCTCACTTCATTCACAGGTGCTTACCATATTTTAAAAATTCTAGACAGGAGCTGGGATGTGGCTTGGTAGTAGTGGCTTGGTGGCATGGACAAGGTCCTAGATTCAACTTCTAGCAGTGCAAGAAAAGAAAGAAAGGAGAGAGAGAGAGAGAGAAAGAAAGAAAAGAGAGACAGAGAGAGAAAGAAAGAAGAAAGAAAAGAAAGAAAGAAAGTAATAAAAGAGATAGAGAGAAAAAGGAGAGAGATAGAGAAAGAAAGAAGAAAGAAAGAAAGAGAAAGAAAGAAAAAGAGAGAGAGAAAGAAAGGGAAAGAGAAAGAGAAAGAGAAAGAGAGAGAGAAATGGTAGACAAGTGCTATAGTTTGGGAGCGCGTGGGCAGCGTATTCCCCTGGATGTGTGTGTTCCTATTTGCCATTTATCACGTCTCATTTTTTCTGTGTGAGTAGGTAAAAGATGAGCATCACGGACGTGCTTAGTGCTGATGACATTGCAGCTGCCCTGCAGGAATGCCAAGGTAAAGGGCACATGGGACAGGTGTGGGGTGTCCTCCCTTATTCACAGCCCTGGTGAAGCAATGGAAATGAGCCTGTGAACTTTGCCAAATGAATCCCAGAATGAGAGGATGAAACTGCTCAGAATTAGATAGCTACAGTGATGGGACTATGGGGTCTGAGCGCGTGATCACATGACTGTAAGGTGAAAGAAACCTTGGAGAAGCGGGGGTAGAGTAAATTAAGCCTGTTGGAATCCAGTGATTTACATTTCCACCCCCAAATAGACCAGGAATGTGGAGGACTCAGAGGCACAGCCTGTTGGGGAGGGGAGAGAGACGGAGGAGAGAGAAGGAGAGCTGGGCAAAATCAAGTAGAGAGAGGCAGCCGGGGACGCAAGAGCAGGAGATGACATCGCGGAGTCACTCATCCTGGCCATCTGGAAGTCTTGGGCTAGTCGCACATCCCTGTAGCTCAAGGATACTATGAAAGCCATTTTAATAATCCTTGTTTTCAGCACCATGGCCCAAATATGGAGCCTGCCCCAAGGAGCATCAGAATAATTTATTCATTCTCTGTTCTTCAGATCCAGATACTTTTGAGCCCCAAAAGTTCTTCCAGACATCAGGCCTCTCCAAGATGTCAGCCAGCCAGGTGAAGGATGTTTTCCGGTTCATAGACAATGACCAGAGTGGATACCTGGATGAAGAAGAGCTTAAGTAAGCTTTGTGCCAGGCACCCCAACGTGGCTAGGCTTCTGGGGTTGCGGGGGCCCAGTTTGCTTGGAGGTGATTCAGTGGCGGCCTTTGGTTGCTTCTTGTGGAAGCAGAGAATGGAGTCACTGGACCTCATTTCTCCCCATACAAAGCACCAAACTTGGTGCTGAACATGTAGGTGCAGGTCCTTGGCTTAAGGGATTTCCTTCAGCAAATGGACTCAGCAAAACTCTTTTAAGACTCTTAAAAATAAATGTCTGCCACTAGTTTCTACAGCATAGGAAATCCTTGCTTGCTAAGACATTGACTGATTATTACAACTCCTAGAAGGAGGTGGTGGGCTTAAAGAGAAGGAAGGAAGGAAGGAAGGAAGGAAGGAAGGAAGGAAGGAAGGAAGGAAGGAGGGAGGGAAGGAAGAAGGAAGGAAGGAAGGAAGGAAGGAGGGAGGGAAGGAAGAAGGAAGGAAGGAAGGAAGGAGGGAGGGAAGGAAGGAAGGAAGGAAGGAAGGAAAACACAGAGATGCATGGTCTTTTAGAAAATTCCCATCAATCTTTATTATCCTGTAGGTTTTTCCTCCAGAAATTTGAGAGTGGTGCTAGAGAACTCACCGAGTCAGAAACCAAATCTTTGATGGCCGCTGCAGATAATGATGGAGATGGAAAAATTGGGGCTGATGGTATGTCCACAACTATACACAGCTTAAAACACATTAGCTCAGGGAGCATCCATGGGAGCTTGGGCCATGGTATTAGCAGATGAGGGTTAACCTCCCCTTTCTAATCTTGCTGAGCCTCAGTCTTCTCATCTGTAAAATGGGACTGAAAGTGAGGATGCCAACATTGAGAATGAAAATCCTGACATTGCTGGGCTGTAGCTTAGTGGGATAGCATATGCTTAGCATGCATGAGGCCCTGGGCTCCATTCTCAGCACTGCCAACAGCAACAAAAATCTGGCATGATGCCTGGGGAGTACCATAGTGGCTAAGTCCTCTAGTCTTCATCTATGAACTAGAAGAAATCCTTCACCTGATAAGGACACAAGCTAATCACCTCACCAGTTACCTACAAGATGCTCTGATGTACCCTGAAAATAGTGCAAGGGCTTCCACCAGTGGGATCCGAGCCCTCCCAGTAAGGGGCAGATTGGTATTCTCCAGTGTGTCTCACATCAAAGGATCTATTGGCTTGCGTGCAAAATCCCCTTAGTTTTCAAGGGCTTAAACAAAGTACGTATATTTTACTGTCGTTAGTCTACCAAGTGGACCATACTTTTTTAAAAAAGACATCACTTATGGACTTCCATGTGCAAAGCCCTGGACAGAAATGTTATCATTAGTGCAATTGTTGTCACTAGATTTTGCCATGTTGCTGATACATTTTTTAGGGACTTTGTGCCAACTCAGGAGAACCTAGGGTGGTCCTGTTGGTGGACCTTTTAAATTTCAAATTTTTTAATTTGAAATTTAAAAGTGTTACCTTCAAAATATATCACTATGCCTAACTACAATAGGGGTTAATGCAGCTTCTATAGAGAGCTCAGAAAAATAGTTTAGGCATGGGTGGATTGATGTCGTTATACATAACCACAAAAGATTTCCAAAGAGACTAAGCTTACCAACAAGTACAAGAGGCTGGAGATGTAGCTCCGTGATAGAGCACTTGCCTAGCATGTGCAAGGCCCTGGGTTCGATCCTCAGCCCTGCAACAAAGAAAAAAATAAACAGAACAACAAATATAAAGCAAATCTCAGTTTTCAATTTCAACCTGCAGCACTAATATCTTATCACCATCATCTTTCTTTTAGTAATATAAATTTTCAGGGCTGAGTTTAGGGCTCAATAGAGAAAAGTTTGTTCAAAGATTCACCCTATTATTTCTGAAAAATGCAATATACTGCTACAGAATAGAGGAAGAAGACCTCCCATTGTTTGTCGTAACTCAATTAGGCAGAAAGGTACACGTTTACAGATTGCAATACACAGTTACCCAGAATTCCTTCACTGGTAGAGAGAAATGATTGGGTTGGCGAGTTCTAAAGATGAAGACATTCATTAGGGAAGATTATGCGGAGAGATGGGGTGCTGTAGAGATGGACTACCCACAGTTTTCTTCCCTTTGTGCCCTCCAAGGAGACCACACTTGTCATGCGAGACTGTGTTTTATCTGTTTCTTCCCTCTTCAGAGCTCTTATGGTGACAACACATCTGTAAAGTGCCACCCCTCTACCCCGCTGACCCTGTTCTCACCTCTTCTGTTCTAGAATTCCAGGAAATGGTGCATTCTTAAAAGCCCCAGTCTGTGGAGAAAAGAGAGAAAGGGACACTCAGCTGGAAGGCCTCCAAAGCCCTGGGAATGGGAAACCCCACATCCTACCACAAACTAATTTATTAATTTCCCCCAAAACATTTCTGAAATTTGCTCATTGCCTGAGTAAGGAAATAAGACACACTCCACGGCTTTTTTGGTGGTGGGTATGCCCCGATGACCCCTGTAAGGCCCCTGCAGGCAACACCTTTAAAAATCACCCAATAAAGATAGCTTCTTGTCATTGGCTGATGTGTGGGTGTGATTTTTTTTTTCTGCAAGGTAGAGAGACCAACCTGGGTGTGGTAGCACATGCCTATAACCTCAGCACTGTGGGAGGCTGAGGCAGGAGGATCACAAGTTCAAGACAGTCTGGGTAACTTAGTGATTTAGCAAGACCATGTCTCAAGATAAAACATTTTTTAAAAGCTTGGTGATGTAACTCAGTGTGCAAGCACTGGGTTCAGTCCCAGTACTGGAAAAAAAAAAAAATTAGGAATTTAAGTGAGTGGGGATCAAGGAGTCTTCCAAAGATCTCAGGTCATCTCAGCCACCAAGCAAGCCACACTGACATTGTATGTGAAGAGGCAGGGAAATCAGGTTTAAAAACAGGAATGTCACAAATAAATGGCACTACTGAGCTAGGATTTTTCTCAGGAATTCATCTGATTCTGAAATTAATGTGAAGAGATTTTTTAGCCAGCATAAATTCACTCTTCCTGATGTGCTTTCTGCCACGGGGGTTCAACTGCCACAAGACAGATTTAAGTAAAAGCAAACAGGACGACACTGAAGGGCAGGCGCTGGAGAGGGCTTCGAAGCTAGAGGCCTGGCGAGGCCAGCTCAGCCCAAACAGACCCATCGTCAAGTCCATCTTTCCTTCCCTCCTTTTCCTCTCTCCCTCGCTCTTCCTTGCCCCTTTCTTAGAAAAACAAGCTCTCAAACTTGCCTGCCCTCACACAACCTACTGCCACCATTTTCCTGCCTCTTAGGCTACACCTCTGGAACCAGTGACACCGAAACTCGCCTTCCCTTCGGGCCAGCCCACAGAGTCCCGTTACAGGGTTGTCATGAAAGTTGGGCAACCTCAGCCAGGAAATTCTCATTAGGCTGGTTTCCAGGTGGCCAGCAGAGCTATTCTCTCACTGACCCTGACAGATGAGGACTCCCAGGAGTCACTGAGGCATTTCCCTGCATGTTTGCTTAAAATCTCACACTTTTACCCAACACTAACCTCGCCATGTCTTGAAGGTCGCCAAGACTGCTTCCCACAGGCTGAATAGCTAATGAGATTTGAACCTTTGATTCTTGGAAGGTCATATTTAAAGCAGTTTTCAAAGTAGGGGGCACTATTAGAAAGGGGCCTCAGGCCGGCTTGGTGGCCACTGGTTGTGACCCCAGCACTCTGGGAGGCTGAGGCAGGAGGATCACAAGTACCAGCCCAGGTTTTTGAATGTGTTATCAGTTTGAAGAACATGAAGTAATATTAGACTTGGTACTATCTGAAGTAATGTTAGACTTGGTACTATCAACAAAACCCATAAAGGTAGTTCTCCAATGAGTCAAAATTGGGAAGTTCAGCTTTAAAATGAAGAACTCTTGGGGAGGACCAAAGAATGGAACTAATTTCTTGACAGTCTCTCTTGTGCCTGTCCCTGCCTCCCGCTCCCCACACACTCATCTCCCCCAGTGTGCCGGGTTCTGGCAGGAGCCCGGCGAGTCCCCCTCCACTGCCAGCTTCCCTGGGTGCATGGAAATGGCTCCTGGATGTACTTGTGAATCTTTCAAAACACAGACGAGGAGAGGACCTTTCTTTTCTGTGCTGTTGCCCTAAGGGCCTTTGCTCTTCAAACAGTTGAATTTTGACTTCATACCATATGCTCGGATTCTGATCCTTTATTTTCATTTCATGCTATTATTCCTACACAGCTGATTTGTTTTGAGACAAGGTCTCACTATATAGTTTATACTGGCCTTGAACTCACTATGTAGCCCAGGCTGGCCTTGAACTCATGATGATCCTACTGCCTCAGCCTCCCAAGCACCCTCATCCTTTGTTTTTCATAGTAGTGGAGCTTGAACTCAAAGCCTTCACAATGAGCAACCCCAGTCCTCCCTCTTTAAAAAAAAAAAAATTTTTTTTAATTTTGAAAAAGAGTTGGGTAGGCTTGAGCTTGAGATTCCCCTGCCTCAGCCTCCCAGAGTGCTGGGATTACAGATGTATGCCACCATGGCCAATTTAAAACACAAATTTTTTAAAAAATTACTTGAGTTTAGTTATTACATAAATTTGTACAAAATCATTTGTTTTAAAATGGATCATAGCCAAGCATGATGGTGCACACATGTAATCCCAGACTCGGGGGCCTGAGGCAGGAGGATAACTGTGAGTTTGAGGCCAGCAGGGCTACATAGTGAGTTCAGGGCCAGCTGGAACTACAAAGTGAGGCCCTGTCTCAAAAAAATTTAAAAATTAAAAAAAAAAAAAAATGGGTCATTTTTGCCATGGGTGGTGTTCCATGCCGGTAATCCTAGCACTCAGCAGGCTAAGGCAGGATGAATGCCACAAGTTTGAGCCCCACTTGTGCTACATAATGAGTTTAAGGCCAGCCTGAACTACATAAGCGTGACCCTGTCGCAAACAAAACAAAACAAAACAAAACGGATCATAGTCTACATGAATCTCACACACAAAAAATGAAAAGATACATAGGAAAACATTAACAGAGGTTTCCTCCAGTCGGGAGGCTCCTAGACCAATGAGCTCAGATTGGAACCTTTTTAAAAAGTGGAGCATAGGGACTAGAGCAAATAAAAAGCAAAGATGTAGAATTTACCCAATTATAGTCACTAAGCCAAAGTAGCAATAAATTCTGATTCTAAAAAACTTACACATCTTATACTATAATTTAATGAAAGCCTTGTATAATGTTCTGTTCCTGAAATTCTGCTCATTTTTTAATCATTTCTATTTTGCATACTAGAAAGATTTTTAAATATAACATATCCAGAATCAAATCAAAACTGGAAACTCTCCAAAGAAAGTTCTAACAATCCAGGAAAAGGCTTAACTAGCGTATAAAAAGCTTTACTTGTATGCTTGTCTTCTGTATTTTTACCTAATTTACTGATGGCCACAGGCCTACCTCAAAAAGACACATTCTCTTTGCCAGGTATGGTGGCCCACACTTGTAATCCTAGTACTCTGGGAGGGTCAGGCAGGAGGATTGCACGTGTGAGCCCAGCCTGAGAAATTTGAAATGAGAAAAAAAAAAATGAAAAAGACCAGGGATATAGTTCAGTGTGAAGACCCTGGGTTTAACGCTCAGTACTGAAAAAAAAGTTTTCAGTACTAAAATGATGTATTTTGACTTTAAAATGAAAGCCTAACCTGCAACATAGTTTACAGAGATGGAAAGTCATTTTTTCCTAATTATTTATAAAATAGGACTGCAATTCTGGCTTTATTTTTATTTTTTAACTCCAGCTTTAATGTGGACTCTTGTTCCCTAGCACTTTTAGTTTGTAGTAGAGTAGTTCATAATTTAATAGACCTCAAAGCCAGCCTTGTAAATGTCCATAACTGTTGCCACTAAATGGATTACAATACCTCAAATACGACCTAGTATTTTCTTTCACCGTCTCCATATTATGCAATACTTGTAAGATTTTTAAAACAAATAAGTTTTCAAAATAGGTATTTCCAGCTCAAAAACGAAGTGTAGCTGACATGGGAAATATCTGCCTATTCAAGTTTACAAGCGGCATAGTTAATTTGATGTAAACACTACAGTTTAATCTTGTGTAATGAGTACTCAGGGATCCAATTTCAAGCAAAAACCGATCTTCTATCTCCTCTGCTAATGTTAAGCTATGGTATCACTTTGCAAACACTTAAGAAGACAGATGAAATTGGAATCACCAGGATAGTTTCCACCTGGCCTGTTAATTTATTCACTGGAAAGACTATACATTTACATAATGTTTTTGGTAGTTTCAGAAAGGTAACTTTTTTTGTGCTGGTGATGGTGGGGAAGTGATGCTGACATTGTTCTCCTAGGGGGTTAACAATGAGTACAAATGGATTCTCACCTTAAATTACTTTTAGTCATAAAGTATTTCAAACAGAGGAGAAGCCAAGTAACATGGACAACTGTGTGCCTTGCTTTATCAAATCTTGGCACCTCCTGTGGATCCATTAGGGTGGGCTGAAGATGTGTTGTCAGAGATCTGGGGAACAGTGTGAAGCAGAGCCCACTCTCTCTGTCTATCTCTCTCTCCCACCCTCCCCTATCCCACTCCCTCCCGCTCTACTGTGGACTGAACCAGGGCCTCTGTACTGAGCTACATCCCTAGCCTGATTGATTGATTGATTGATTGATTGACTGATTGACTGATTGACTGATTGACTGATTGACTGATTGACTGATTCAGGGTTTAACTAAGTCACTAAGTTTCCCAAGGTGGGCTCAAATCTGCAATCCTCCTGCCTCAACCTCCCAAAGTGCTAGGATTACATGTACGCACCACCACAACCAACTACTATTTCACTCTTGGGAGTTGGGGTCAGGAAGTCATTCCTGGCGGCTCACCTCTTCAGTGTGGGGTCCGCCTGCAGCTTCCCATCTCAGATATGCGTTTCTCTCTGTGTAAAGGACACACGCTTCCTCCTGGTGCCTCTGATCATCAGAGCTGCGGGTAGTAAGGGACGAGCATGGGTTCCAGTCTCTCTGTACCAGTTTGTCCTTACTCTCCCTTTGCTGACTTCCTACTCTACGGGCACCAAATTTGAGGATCAGATGAGGCTGTTTAACCAGCTCCCGAAAGTGGATAATACCTGCATTTTTTCATATATTACATATATTTCATACATTACATCATTGCATAATACCTGTAACTGACATCTAAGAATTATATAATTACATATGTTATACACATTTTTGTAATAGTTCTGCTTCTCCAGTTGAACCCTAATTAATAGAACTTGCCTCCATTTTTATTTTTTGTTTTGATTTTAGAGACGTGGCCTCACATGTTGCCCAGGCTAGCTATGAACTTGTGAGTTTAAGTGATTCTCCTACCTCAGCCTCCTGAGTAGCTGGGATGAAGGTTCATGCTGTCATATATGGCTCATTTTTAAAATGTTTTAATAAAAGGAATCACATGTGTTTAAGATCCTTTCCAGGTGATTACGGTAAGAGATGAGACTGCGGAAAATTTTAAGAGAGCTCTTTGCCTCATGATGAAGACCACCTCTGAACGACACACAGTTTCTGGTTCTGAGTTCTAAATCAACAGATAAAAGATTGGGCCCTGGTTTATTCCTACCAACCACGTGAGATGAAGTGGGCCTTTGCATCGGTGGTCTGAGAGGTATGTACTGTGCACAAATCTTTACCCAGTAGCTTCTGCCTGGGGCTCAGCACAGACCTGAGTAGAGAACTCACAGCAAGAGAACTCACAGGCTGCCCTATGGCCAGCACCCTGTCAGCACCACAGGCAGAGCCAGAACTGTGGAGGAGGAAAGCCCAACTCAAAGGTCTGCCTCTCCGCCCTTCCCACATCCTGCCTCCATAAGCTGTCATCATTCACTCATTCAACACGTGTTTACTGTGTGCTTTGAGGCAGGTACTGTGTTAAACCATGGGAAGAAAATGATGCCAATACAGTCCTACCTTGGAGAAGCTTTCCTTTTGAGGGATGAGATATACAGTATATGGCATCTTCCATCCTAGAACTGCTGCGACCTTCTACTTGAAAATGTGCCCTTTCCACATCTTGTTCCCTTGAAACTTTGAGTTCACAAATTCTTTGTGCAAAATAGGAGTCCTACAACCAAACTTCATTTTAATTTCTATTGTGCTAGATATCAGAATCATAGTTCAGGATTATGTCAGGCAATCTGGCCTCTTCTCCCTTCTTTTGAGCAGTGGGGTGCTGGCATGTCAGAGCTCAGGATAGGAAAAGAGTAGTAGTCTGCTAAATTCATGCACTGATAGCTGAGTGAATCATCCTCATTCCTTCCTAGTCTTGTGGTCTTAAGTGGCAACAGACTACAGTACTTCTTCCTCATGCTGACCATAAGATCTCTTAGCTCTGGATTGTTCTGAATTATTGCTGTGCCCAAGAATAACATTTGCCTGTTTCCTGCACCAAGTAGGGGCTTACTGCCTTCCTGTGACCACGGCTGTTCTACCTTTGTCGACTCATTATTGACCTGGAGGGAAACTCCGCAAGACTTGCCACTTTCCCCAGCTCCACAAGGAAGCAAGACACACATCCTGTCTATGCTGAGCTCTCCAATCCTATGTAGGGATCTAACATCACTACCACTCTCTTACACCTGTGCACTCTAGAGCTGTGCTAGGACAGGAACATGCATCAATGTCTAAGCTCCTTGGCTTTGGAAACTTAAAAGCATTTTCTTTGGTTTTGGGGTGTTTTGTATCGCTTCTTGCTTGTGATGATTATTGTCATTAATTGTATGGGTGAGGGTGAACTGTACAAGGAAATAAAGAATAATGTGTCACCAGACAGCATGGGTTCATGCTTCAGTGATAACAGAAATTAAAACTGAAGTAATCAGTATGAATGTACAGGAAGAAAAACTTTAATTGAAAAGTAAGACAGAATGGTAAGGGGCATTAGCTTGAGCTGCTGACAAATCAAGCTGGCCCCTTAACGAAGGAAGGAGAAAACAGAGGAGACTTTTTAGCTTGAGGAACTGAAGGGTACATAGTTCTGAACAGCAGTATCATACTGGCCCATTAACAAAAGAGGGGGGACTAGTTTTATGGGGTGCTGGGGTCTGTTTGGTCATCGTCTCATTCCTGGTTTTATAGGAGATACCCTAATGTGTTGAGGACTGATTCATTTCCTTTGAGAAGACTGTTCTTGCTTAGAGGGGGCAACCTTGGTCCCTATTCTGTCTGAAGTTAACTACTCCCACTTAGGGGTGTGGCTTCACCATCTATGAGGCTCTGGGGTAAAAGCTGGCAGTCAGATGTCCTTGCAAATTCTGAAAATTACTTCCACTTCTCTTGGTGTCCTCAGTCTTGAAGGGGGATGAGGTAGGCTAGGTAAATTTAAAACCCTCAAACCTTGTATTACAGATACTCCTTAAGTGATTAACATCCCTATATGCAGTTGAACAAGGATCAGACCCCAATTTTTAAGGCAAAAATAAAGACAGTGAGACCAAGCTTCATTCTACTTTTAGTTGCCTTTTGGGCATCTGCAGGTCTATTCACTAGGTTATGGTTACAAATTCATAACGAATACTATATTAATCTCACATATTTACAAAGTACTTTATCCTTTACAAAGGGCTTTCATTTGTATGACCTAATGTAATATTTGCAATAATCCTGAGGCATTAATCTCATTTCATGGAGGAGGAAATTGTGAGTTAAAAAGGTTAAGTGATTAGCCAAATGGTAAATGACAAAGCCCAAACTCAAATATAGGTTTTCTGACCTGGCTCTTCTATTATGCTTCTTGGAATATTTGCTCTGATACAGAAGAGTTCTCCAGACTATGTTCCCTAGAGTCCCAGAGTTCTGTATCTGTATTTTAGCATTCCTATGGGGAGATGGGGAGGGTGGGTAGTTCCTGGAAAAGGTCAGAGGAAGGTCTGTACTCTTAGGCTTCAGTCTATCATCTGTCACCTGGACCTTCATTCAACTTTGGTTGCTCTATGTCTACTCATTAGAAGTCCCCCTCAAAGACTTTTTGAGAAACAAAAGATGTGTAAAAGAGAGCATTCTGCAATCTTAATGTTTTTTCTTTAAGATTATTGCTTTAATGGCAAAATATGTACTTCTAATGGCAGATTTCAAGCACTTAGAGTACACTTGATGGTAAAGAGCATGGACAGGTAACAATCATTTGTTGAATAAATGGTTACATGCTGGACACTTGATGTACATTCATAATCCCATTTAAATCTTAAAGTTCAATTTCCATTGCATGGGAATTAACTGTTAATTATTTCACAGATAAGAGCAGTGGGAGAGAGGCTGTGTGACTGATCCAAGGGCTCACACTTAGAGAGTGGCAGAGCTAGAAAGTGCACCCAGATGTCTCATGTTCAAATTTCAATGCATTTCCTCCTTGCCAGGTCTATGGGGTTGGACTAGGGAAGTGCTCTAACTTTCATCTGTAGACACCAGGCAACCTAACCAAGGCCTTCTTGAGGCTGGCCAAGTGGTCTGCTCTAAGGACCTGAGCTCCAAATATGGGACACAACAAGCCCTTCCAACGGTGTCACAATCCACACAACTCAAAGGCTAAGGGACTCTCAGGGGCGTCACGGCTTGGGAATGGGCACCATTGGAGGAAAGCCATATCTGATTCCACCTCTGCTGCACACAGCGGGATCCAGCGATCACCTGCGGTCTAATAGGGATTCTGTAGGGTAGTGTGACGGTCCCAGAGCCAGGCTGCAAGCACATCCACCCCTAAATGGGTTCATTTACAAGCCAAGCCTTCGTTGGCGCTGTAACATTCTCTTCTCCAAAAAAAACTGTGCCTGTTGCATTTTTCTTAAAACTCGTAGCCTTAGCCTTTAGCGATGACAGAAATCCTGGAGCCAACAACAATAAATTTCACTTCCACCTGAATTCTATTGTACTGTATAAGAAACACTACAGCCCAGGAATCAGATAGGAACCAGGGCTACTCGGACATATCAAAAGGAGACTCTGCGCCGCGGATTGTTCTTCCGGGCCAACTGCAACCATTTCCGGGTTGACAGTGTGCGAGGCGGAAGTGCGGTCTGCTTACAGCCGCTGTCTCTGGGCGGGCCGAGGGAGGCTCCCAAGTAGGGGGCCGGGCTGGGATGGCGGCAGCAGCGGCCGGGGCCGGCACCGGGTCTTGGGCATCCCAGGAGAAACAGTTCCCACCGGCGTTACTGAGCTTCTTCATCTACAACCCACGCTTTGGGCCACGCGAAGGAGAGGTACAGAGAGGGGGTTGCGCTTGGGCGTCACGTGACAGCCGAGGAGGGATTGGAGTGCCCGGCGGGCGTGGGTCCCCGAGATCCGTGGGGTGCGCCTGGGTCTTGGCCTGACCCTTCTGCCCACCTCAAGCGGCACTGATCCATCCTGCAGTGTGCCGGGTGTGCGCCGGGCCGGGGGGCGGGGTACGGCAGGGACCCGGTGACGCAGGCGGCGTGGTTCAGTTTCCGGATCGGGGCCGCTCTACGCAGGGAAAGGTGCGGCAGGTGAATCGCTCCGCGCAGGTCGAGTCTCCTTTCGCTTTGCGGTAATCCTGGAGAATTAAAATTGAACTCAGCGGGGCGTGGTGGCGCGCCCCCCTAATCCCAGGATTCTGGGTATTAAAGGAAAGATTCCAGCCTAGTCTGGGCTATTTAGGGAGACCATGTGTCAAAATTAAGAATTTTTTTTAAAAGTTTTTTTTTTAAGGTGTGCGAATGTATCTCAGTGCGAAGGCCCTGCGTTCAGTCCCCGGTAGTGGTAAAAAAATTGGTTTTTGAACTTGTCTTTGTTATTGGAAGTCTCCTACTTAGAAGTATGGAACCAGAGTGCTCAATTGGGGCCCCAAAATAGTGTAAACTTGGAGGGTACTCAGGAAGGGTTTTTTTCCCCCAAAATAATAAGAAATTACAGGAATTGTTTGTTCTGAAGTGAGCGTGGTGACTTCTTTAAAAGATAACCAGCGGGCTGGGAATTTAGCTCAGCGGCACAGCGCCTGCCTGGCAAGTGCAAGGTTGTGAGTTCAATTCCCGGTACTGGAAAAAAAGTCAAAAACAAAAAACCAAACAAACAAACAAACAAGATAACCAGAGCAGTGTTTGGTTACCGACAAATCACGGTCTATTAAAGGGCTGTTTGTCCAAATGTTCATGAAACAGCTGTGTTTATAAGTTTTAAAAACTTTTATGTATTGTGGTGCTGAATCTATGGCCTTTGCATAGAGCTATAGCCCCAGCCCTTTTTCATTTTTAATTTCGAGACAGGAGCTTAAAGAATTGCCCAAGCTGCGTTCAATCTTGAAATCCCCCTGCTTCAGTCTCCTGGAGTTCTGGAATTATAGATGTGTACCACCATGCCTGGTTACCAGCTGGATTTAATTTTTCAGGAAGTTGCATGTGGGCACGTGCTTATTTCTTAATAAGTACTGGTGTAGTATAAATTAGCCCAAGGAAAGAAATCAGAGATTTTCATTGCAATTATCTCATACTACTTCAGAGGAAATGGGAAATGTGTCTTAGTGAATGTCACAGTTGCCTTTGAGACTGGTGGGCCGTTTTTACCCAGTGATGAGCAGATAATTCTTGTTTTTGCAAGAAGGATTTTTGGAGTTTTGTCGTTAGTATGTATGATCGGAGAGATTGGTGCTAAACTTAGCACTTTGAACAGTTAAAGTGAAATAATGCTTATGTGAATATTGTGCTTTGTTTCTTCATGCTTTAGGAAGAAAATAAAATTTTGTTTTACCATCCAAATGAAGTAGAAAAGAATGAAAAAATTAGGAATGTTGGCTTATGCGAAGCTATTGTTCAGTTTACAAGGTAATGCCTTTAAATGTACTTTTGTAGAGCTCGGTGAATTCTTGTGATTTATGCTGAAAACGTGTTCCAAAAACATTTTTACCTTTTTTTAGGACCTTTAGTCCATCAAAACCTGCAAAATCTTTACATACACAGAAGAATAGACAGTTCTTCAATGAACCAGAAGAAAATTTCTGGATGGTCATGGTATTTATATGCGCAGTATATCTTTCTGTAGCAAAATATGGGTGGCATTTACTGTTAGAAATTTAGGGAATTCTCCTGGCTATCACATTACAAAGTCAAATTACAATAGAATTGGTTGCTATTTTAAAGTCAAATTCCTGTTTGGTATATTTGTTCTTGGGGCTGTTTTAAGAAGTTATATTTTCAAATTTAATTTTAGTTACTTTTTTATGAGGCTGAAGATTGAATGCACGTGGCTAGACAAGCATTCTACCACTGAGCTACAGCTCCAGCCCCAAGCTCTTTTAAATTAAGGCAAAACTAAAGGCATATGTAATCACTTGATTGTATAATTTCAGTTTATTCAACTTTGTAGGTAGTTCGGAATCCTATAATTGAAAAACAGAGTAAGGATGGGAAACCAATTGTTGAATACCAAGAGGAAGAGCTGTTGGTAATGTTTCATTATTTATTTTATACTTTTAGAAAAGTATATTGAATATGTTGAATGACCAACCTAGTCAGATTTAAACTTGATGTATTTTATAGACATTTCTGGGGTCCACAGGAGAAAACCTTTATAGTTGTTTAAATTAACACCGTCTTTTAAAAATGTACCTGGGCTGGGGATTTAGCTCAGTGGCAAAAGCGCCTGCCTGGCATGCGCAAGGTCGTGAGTTCGGTTCCCGGTACTGGAGAAAAACCAAAAAAAAAAAAAAATGTATTTATACCCAGCTCCACTAATACTTTCCACTGATCACCTGTGTGTGAAGCCCTTCCAAAATGAACCCTCCTTGTTTGTAAATGTGAATTTAAATAGCTTTTCAGTTCACGACTGTTGTGGGGCCACACTTATTATATCGCTTTGTCAGTGTACCTTTGCTGTACATAGGAGATAATACTTTCTCTTGATTTGATACTTGTGCTCCTTTCTTGTTGTCCGTAGGACAAGGTCTACAGCTCAGTGCTGCAGCAGTGCTATAGCATGTACAAGGTGAGCGTGACATTTCTTCTGAGTTCTGTCCAGTTCCCCATGTATGGGCCTGAAAATTGTTTTAAAATAATTCTTAGACCACAGAGTTCCTGTGTATCTGTTTTAGGGGAGAAAGCAGTGGGGCCTTGGAAACAGGTAGTTAAGTTTGTGTGCATACATTTACTCCACAACTATTGAACCCCCTTCTCTTCTCCTAGTTTTGTACTAGTAATGTATCCCTTTGTGTGAACAAATGAGTCCTTAGTGGTGTTATTTACGTAAAGTGAAACTTAGATATTAGTTGACTTTTTTTTTAAGTACCAGGAATTGAATTGACATTTTAAAAAACTGTAGCTGAATTCAGTGGCACAACCCTATGGTCCTAGCTAGTTGAGAGGCTGAGGCAGGTGGATTGCTTGAGCCCAGTAATTCAAGACCAGCCTGAGGAACATAGCAAGACTCCATTATAAACAAATATGTTGAAAACAACGAGGTGATGTTATAAAAATGAGAGCATCACTTAACATGTTGTGTGATTATTTGTGTGATTTCTTTTATGACTCAAGCTTTCTCATGTAAATAGAGAAAACTATTTGAAAAGAAGGGGATGTTAATGATCTGAATTAATGAACTAATTAATTGCTGCAGTTGAAGGTCAGGTGTTACCCCAACAATACATAAGAAGAGTTTGTATCCCTCATTGCCCATGACTTCTGAAGGGTTAAAAGAAAGAGCTTCTTACACTAAGAAATAGAGGAACACTGGAAACTGATTTTCTCTCCCGATGTTTTACACCATTAGCTTTTTAATGGGACATTTCTGAAAGCGATGGAAGACGGAGGTGTCAAGCTCCTGAAAGAAAGATTAGAGAAATTCTTCCATCGCGTAAGTGTTTCAAATTTTAATTATAAGTTTACTACCATTCAGACAGATATTTAGAGAAATATAAATGGAGAGCAGTTTGTTCTGTCTCAGAATAAAAACTCAGAACTTGAACAAGGCAGAAAAGCTAAGAGGCACAGTGGCAGACCCCGAGCAGTGAGGGACCCCTTGGGCCTGAGCTCTCTCCCAGAGTTTTGTGTAGGAGCAGAGCATCCTGCCTCTG